TCGTCGTCTTAGCGTCGTTTGGGGGACGTCGTATACCTTAGACGCGTGTTTTATACTATTAGGAAGGGTTGCTTAGGTAGCCTTAATAGCAAGGTATAGTGTGCCTTCGTTGTAGGTAGATTGCGCGTTGCGTCGTGGTAGCATTGTTGTAATAGTCTATAATAGTTGCGATGTTAGTGAGGGGTGGCCGCTCGGTGGGGGTGGCCGCTCGGTGATAAAACACGTTATGTTATATTGGGGGTATCGATCAACAGCCGCATCGGATGTTCGGCTGTCAGCAATCATCCGCAGTAACCATCCTTTTCGTTGTCGGTAAGCCATCACGCATGTTCGCCATGGAGCGATCTAATTGGATGGTAAGATGTAGATGTAGCAGCGGAAGCGAAATGAACGTTGTGTTTCGCTATCCTGCTTAGGACCCAGTGGCTTGTCTGATACATCGAGTACCTGACTGAACAGCGTGTTTTGGTGCGCAGTTGGACGTGATGGAGAAACGGTCTGGACGGCCAGTCGTACAACACGCATGCTCGTATTCAACAACATTCCATCGGATCAACTCGGTCAATTGTTCTCGCCTTCGACTGTCTGTCTGTCCCTCAAAGAGATGCTCAGCCCTCTTAGGCGTCCCCGGCTTGCGCGTCAACAGCCACCCTTCCAGCGCCTTCACCCGAAACCAGGTCGGCCACTGGCGTTCTCGACGTGATCGCCGGCGCCCCTCGATTGGTCTTTGGCTGTGTCGTGATTTCGAGCCGGCGCACGCCACAGCGCCGGATTGCCCTTCCTGCATAACGGTGTGCCTGGGGCGGGACGCGCTAGTGAAAGCTTTGCTGGGCCGTCCATGCATCAGTCGCCTGGTGGGCGAAAAGCAAAGCCCACGGTTCTGTTTATAGCCATGTGCTTCTCCTACTCTCTTACCCTTTCTCTTGTTCCACTCTGCATCTATCAAGCATTCGTCTTTTCATAGCGCTTTCTTCCTGCATCCTCTCATAAAAGCTATTTAATACAAGCACTTCGCAACAGTCGCTACATCGCCATCTCTATATACCACTCAGCCAAAATGCAGTTCAAGACCCTTGCTGTTCTTTCCCTCTCCGCCGCTGCCATGGCAGCTCCAGAGGCTGAGAAGCGCCAGGCAACCTTCGACACGTGAGTATTACTGAGCATTGGATCGATTCAACTGCACCAAGGCTGACGACTCTGCCAGGATCTCTGTTCTCCAAGTCCTTCAGACTGCCCTTCCATCGTCTCTGTACAGCCTGGCCACCGCCAACCCACTTGCAGCCTCGTCTGTCATCGCATCTGAGTTCTCCGCCGGCGCTACCCCAAGCTGGTACTCTGCTCTCCCAAGCGACATCCAGACTCTCCTGAACCCAGTCGTCACTGGCGCGGCCAACGCCAGTTCCATCACCAGCGCCATCGCCGGTGGTATCACCTCCGCCCCAGCCGCCAACACCTCCGCCCTGGGCGTGAACTCGACCGCCATTTCCGCCTCTCAGTCAGCCATCCTCGCTTCTATTCACGCCCAGAACTCCTCCGCCATTGTAGCAGCCAATGGCACTGCTGGTGTCGCTTCTGCCTCCGGAAGCGGCGCGAGCACCACTAGCTCTGGCTCCTCCCGTACCAGCTCCGGTTCCAGCTCTACCAGCGGTGCTGCTGCTGGCTCCTCTGCTTCTTCTTCCGGATCCAGCAGCGGCTCTTCTACCTCTTCCTCTGCTGCTGGTGCTTCCATGCCAACTGCCATCTACGGTATGGGCCTTGCCGGCGCTGTTGGCCTCGTCGGTCTTCTTGCCCTGTGAAGAGCATGATTTCGGCGCCGTTGTATGAAAGATGTCGGATATCCTGGGGTGCGTTGGGTTGCTCTTCAATAATGTTTGGGTTAGCTGTGAGATAAGCGGCACTTGAGCATGATTTGGATTGTTTCACTATCAGATCGAATAAAATTGTGTTTGGACTTCCAGACGATTTCGCGAGACTTTCCTGTTTAACCGCGCATGCAAACCAACCTCTGCTTGAATCTCTCGTCCATGCAACCCGTAGCTATGATTCCTAGAGATGGACGCCTCGTTGGATGCTCGCAGATACAGCCAGCCTTTCGGGTGCCGGCCACAAGCTCTCTGCCAAGTCGGTTTGCTCTTTTCCCCTGAAACATTCCCCAGGGTCGGCAACATGCAGGGTGTTTGGCCGGACCGTAGCGCGTTTCTCAAAATCAATTACGTCACATCCATCTGTGTAATCGTACTCCGCGGCCACGCTCTTTCTTGCTCTGTTGTATTCTACAAACCATCTCATCCAGGTTTTTCTTTTTAACTGTCCCGTTAGATTGGTTCAAATATGCTCTCCCGTGTGTCTAAGAACGTCTCCGCTGCTACTGCGCGCATGTCGCAGATCACGCAGCAACTCTCCTCCCAAGCACCGTTGAAGCAGCAACAGTCCAGAATGGCTTCCACCGCAAGCACAACCTTCAAGCTAAACACTGGGTAAGCAGTCTTATCCAATTCTCTGAAGCGCTGCTTACACTCCCGAGTGCATCAATTCCTGCCATTGGGTTTGGTACATGGCAAGACAAGGACGCCCAGGAGAATGCAGTAACCACTGCCCTACGAAGCGGATACAGGCATATCGATACCGCGCGTGTATATGGCACTGAGCCCGCCGTTGGCAATGCCATCAAGCAATCTGGTGTGCCTCGTGAGCAGGTGTTCATTACCACGAAACTATGGAACAACTCCCATCACCCAGATGACGTCGAAGCAGCTCTGGACGCATCTTTGAAGGACCTCGGCGTGGATTACATCGACCTGTACCTCATGCACTGGCCATCGCCCTTCGCCAGAAGCAGTGAGCTCATGCCCAAGACCGATGATGGCAAAGGCATCAAGCCGGGCGACACCGACTACATCGATACGTACCGTGCGATGGAGAAGTGTTTCAAGTCCGGCAAAGCTAAGGCTATCGGCATATCCAACTTCAGCAAGGCAGAACTAGAGCGACTGTTGCAGAACACCAGCGTGGTTCCGGCAGCGCACCAGATCGAGTGCCACCCATGGCTGCAGCAACGCGACTTTTTTGAGTGGCAGAAGAGCAAAGGCATCCATGTGACGCAATACTCGCCATTCGGAAACCAGAATGAGATCTACAGCGGCGGCCAGAACATGGGCAAGCTTATCGAGGACCCGACCCTCACGGAGATTGGCAAGAAATATGGCAAGACCGGTGCGCAGGTCGCGTTAGCTTGGGGTATCGCCCATGGTAGAACTGTGATCCCAAAGAGCAAGACGGAAAGCCGGATTAAGCAAAACTTGGAGGGTGACTTCAAGCTGGAGGCTGAGGATGTTGAGAAGATTGATGGAATAGACAAAAGGTCAGGCCGAATCGCTCCAATTCGAGTTGTAACTGCTCTGACACTTCCACAGCTGAGGTTCAACGACCCTTCAGAGAGATTTGGATGGAACTTCTATGCAGATCTGGACGGCAAGAAAGCATAAGACAGTTCGATGTGATGTATGAAACGCTTCCTCTGTCATTTCTCGTACCTCCCTTGGCAAAGGCACACTGGTCTGACCCAGCACTAAGAACGCCTTGATGCCGGCTGGATGAACGCCTGCAACTGGAAGTTTCTCGGAAAACTATCCAGTCAGGATCTTTCTAAACACATCCGTCCCTTCCCTTCCCAATGCCGTTCCGACACCTACCACCTTCGCTCCCACGTTTTGCATCCGATCAAATCCAGCCCTGTCACTCACACCTCCGATGCCGATGATATCAACAGTCCTGAGCGTTTCGTGTTGATCAAGCATCGTACGAAGGGTCTTGACATTACCCAGTGCAAGCGGATGCAGCGGTGCGCCCGCCAGACCTCCAACCCCAGCGCCAGACGCGGATGCAAGCGCCGGTTCGAAAGAATCGGTCAAGAGAAGACAGGAGCCGAGCGTATTCGTGGCCGTGATGAAATCGATGGGAGCACCTCCTTCTCTCTCCACGACGGACATCAGTGCAGAGATCAGACTGTGAAACTGGTCGGCGTAGGTATATGGTGGGGTTTTGATTCCTATAGGCACACTCCTGCCGGGAGGAATGTGTTGAGCAGATCGATAAGGACCGTAACGCTGGAGCGCGTCGAAGTACTCGAGCAGCGCAGAGCGTGAGTAAGCCGGGGGTGGCTTGGAGGGGATGTTGGGACAGGAGAGGTTGATCTCCATGCATATAGGTCCATAGTCCTGCCAATCCAGGATCTGGCTGTAGCACTCGGCGACTTCGGCGGGGAGCCTGTGACGGATATAATGAACGGTTTGCGAGACGAAGGGGGTGAATGGACTTCATCAGCGATCTCTTTGACATAACTGAGGTATTCTTGAAGTGGTATCGGGGAGTAGCCCAACGTGTTGAGGCTTCCGGAGTCCTCGTGCGGTATTGCACCATCCTTTGCATCGCGAGGCTGAAGCCCATGGTTGCTCGGATCGAAGAATGCGTACTGATGGATTGCGGGGTCGTGAGGGAACGCCTTCAGCAGACTGGTTCTCGTAGTCACTGCTCCGGTATGCGGCGATGCGTATAGCACCCGCAGGTCATCTCTCGAAGTAGCCCAAGGGTTGGCGGAGTTTATCAGAGGTGGTTCGATCTTTGGCAGAGGCATTGTTCCAGATTACAGTGCGGGGCTACTGAGTTGGAGCGACGCCTTGTTTCGTTCTGATATCGTGTCTGATTGCACGATGGGTCGTGGATGTTATCAGCGATGCGATGCACTCGCTATCAACCAGCTATCGGTGCCGAAGGGCTTGATGTGTCATTTGGTCACGACCTAGATGAAGAAGATGCGGCCTCTGTATGTACAACTTCATTGAGCGCCTCATCGCAAGTCGGGAGCAGAACACAGTTTGAGTTGATTAAGTTTGTACATGTGGCCTCGATGATCGATAACGGCTTGTCCCCCTTCACTCGCGGTCGCTGGATAGATCAACATGCATTGTGTTTAGTTATACCTCCGACGACAATCAGCAACAGGCGTGGTAGCAAAGTGGTTACTGCGATTGACTAGAATATCACGGATCACCTCAAACATCCAGGATATGTGCTATCAATTCCCTTCGGGGGCGTAGGTTCGAATCCTGCCCACGTCGAGTGCAATGTTTTTGGTTTTGTGCTCATCAGTCGCCCCTTCTGTATTCGACTTATCGTTGTTGCCCAACTCGGCAACTAGGGTAGCTAGGATAGGCGGAGCGTAAGCTCGAATCCTGCCCACGTCGCATGTACGATTCTCTTTTGATCTTGTGCTCACAAGCCGCTCCCTCCGTGTTCGACCTACCATAATTCCCCAACTCGGTAGCTGGGGTAGCTGGGATAGCTCTCAGGACGTGGTGCAGTCAGAGAGAGGTTCGCCATGTCATTGTAAGACGTCGAACGCCCTGTCCATGCCTCCTTCCTGAGCCGCGATTTCCTTCAACCTATATTGTGTTGCTGATCCTTTTGTAACATAGTGTTTGCGTAGAGGCATACAATATGGTTTCCGTAGCACGCACATAAGCTATCTCGTTACAGGTGTGCGTAGCATATCTGAACGAAGCACGCAGAAACGCCAGAGTATTGCTAGATGCAGGAAACTGGGCCAGAAGGCTGTCTGACGTGTTGAGTCTATTACTCGATCCGAACTGCTCGTGCTTGACCAAGTGAGGGCTGACAGGGCAATCTGCATTAGTCTTGCTCTAAAGTCGAGCAAAGCGGACAATGGTACACAAGAGGACAGGCGCCAATGCCGGAACGCCATAGAAAAATTGGAGGGAAAGAAACCCCTCGTAAAGCGCGAACAACTACCTGGATAAGAGGACAAGAAACAAGATAGCAATGAGAAACACTGAAAGTTCTAGACGGGAGAAAAGGCCGTGTCCGGCATTACAGTGAGTGCATGAATAGCGCGTGCGTACTTGTCTTGCCTCCAACACGCTGTCGTTCTCGTGTTGGCCGTGCTCGGAAAGCTCTGCTTTCGTCCAGGTTGCTCGTGTGTTCCCAATTAACCGGAACAGTCAGTACAGTCGTGCGCTCATGAAAGCTGTGTTGTAAAGTTTTCGATCAGTACTCATTCGTGGTATCTATGTTATTCATGCCCAATGCGCCCAAACTCCCGCTGATGCTCGATGCTTTCGGATTACCGGTTGAGACTCGCCATCGCGACGTACTTGGCGAAACTGGCGTCCTCGGCCTGTGAAGCGCCACCGCCATCTTTCAGCGCCTGCTGGTATCTCTGAGTCAGGCCGTCTTGATCGTCGCCCTCTTCTGCTTCGTCCGGATCGACCAACCCTCCGCCCTCCTCGTCACCGCTCATCTCTTCTGCCTCGCTGACCGTTTCAGGTTCTTCTCTCCTCCTACCTGCCCTCTTCTTGCCACCCTCCATCTGCATATCCTTCATCATCCTCGCAACTTCCCTTTCTCTTCTCTCTTCCTTCTCCTTATCCCTCTGCTGTCTCCTGCGCTCCAACTCGGGCTTGTAGTCACGCTCGAATTCCTTCCTCTTCTCCTCGACCGCTTCAAAGAATTGATCCGTCCCTGCTCCCGTCATACTGCTGACTCCCACCACGCTCAAGTGGTTGTAAAACTCCTCCAACACCAAGCTCATGCTGTTGAGCAAACTTCCCATGTACCCGGATCCACCGGTACCGTTCTCTGCCTCCTCGTCCTCTTCCCGACGCAAAGCGGCCTGGAATGCTTCGAAGTCGCGCATCCATTCCACGGCCTCGGTTTCCGATTTTACGTCCGTCTTGTTGAAAACCAGGATCATGGGTAGCTTGGTCTTGTACATGATGGAGATGGCGTAGAGCATGTTGGACATGAAGGTCGAGGTGCTGGAGGTGCTGCGTGGGGTGTCGATTATGTAGGCGAGAACGGTGGGAAACGAGGAGGCAAGGGAAGAGAGCAGGATGCTACCAGACGCAGACCACACGAAAACCTCAATCTGTCCTGGAGTGTCGATGAGGATGTGCTTAGGCGGTGCCGCGGAGGGTTGTGCCGGAGTGGCTGCGGATGACGAGGCCTTTGGTTGTTGCGGCAGGCAGCGCTTCTCGAGGATCCCCAGTACTTGGTCTATCTTTGTCGCGAAGAGGTTCAGACTCGTGAGGATGCCGCCGTTGGGTCCGAGATTGTACTGCTTCATGACCTCCTTGTAGTTTACGCTGTCCCGGATGTCTATATTGGATTCGAAGGGGACTTTGCGGACGGCGGGATCCAGGTTGAGGACGTAGGGAGGCGTGCGTTTTGAGTGAAGATACGAGTTTATACGCTGCATGAAGGTCGTCTTGCCGCTGCCTGCCATGCCTACGCATACCACGGCCACAGGAGGGGCGCCGGTGGAGGGGCTGGCGGGGTCTGTAGATGTGGCCATGGTGATGTTGTCTTCAACGAATGAAACACGCGCGGCGTACGCAAAGGTGTGGTCCAGGTGGATCGAAGAACGAGCGATGGAAGGCTTGTAAAAAGCGCGGATACTCGAAGGTGTTCAGTTCGTCGCGTTATCCGAAGAGTGAATAAATGTTTGCATGATGTCAGAAAGAAAGCAGCTCCGCGGAAAATTCCGCGCTGTTGTATGTAAACTATTCCATCACCCCGTTTCCTGTATATACCTGTTACCGAAGTCATGGGTCTGGAGGACTTTGAGCGCGAGCTCGCTGCGAGCAAGACGGAAAGCTCACGTAAATCGCGCGACAGGAGCCGGGACAGAGGTTCAGACAGACATCGTCACCGGCATCATCATCGCTCGTCGCGGCACGGCGACTCAAGAGATGATGAAGAAAGGCGTAGAGACAAGCGCCCCAGGCACCATCGCGACAGAGAAGACGACGAGAGGAAGCACCGGGCAAAACGCAGACGGAGCGAATCGCCCAGGCCAGCGAGGGCCTCCGCAGCGCACGAAGAAGACGAAGAGGATGAATGGGTGGAGAAGGAAGCCATGACAGCTCCGCCAACCGAGGATATTGCAGATGAGCGCGATGAAAACCAGAGGGATGAGCACTTGAAGCGAGACACGTGGATGGAGGCGCCTGCCTCGCTGGACGTAGACTACGTCCAGCGCAACAATCGGCGCAAGGAACCACAGTCGCAATTCGTCGCGGCATCAAGCTCTAAAGAGGAACATGAGAAGAAGATTCACAAGCATGACATTGAACAACTCATGAAGGATCTGGAAGAGGACGGGGAGAAGGACGATGATAGGGTCAGGGACGAGCCAGCCCAGCACGAGGTTACCTACACGTTCGGTGATTCTGGCTCGAACTGGAGAATGACGAAGCTACAAGGAGTATACCGAAGAGCTAAGGAAGCTGGTATCCCGGCCGAGGACATCGCGTTGGAGACGTATGGTGACCTCCGCGATTTTGACGACGCTCGCGAGGAAGAGCGGGAGCTCGATCGTCGCAAGATGTACGGCAAGGATTATGTCGGCCTCGAGAAGCCCAGCGGTGAACTGTTCCAGGAAAGGAAAATGCGCGCTGGCATCCACCGCAAATCACCTGCAACAAACGTGAGGGAGCGCGAAGAGCAAATTCCCTCTACTCAAGGGCACACCATCGAGGAAGCGCCACCACCTGCGAGGACAGCTATTCTGGACCAGACAGCACTGAACAAGCTTAAAGCTCAGATGATGAAGGCTAAACTGAGGTCCGCGCCAAACGCTGCAGCACTGGAGGCCGAATACAGCGCGGCAGCCGCGGCAGCAGCCAACAGCAAGCAGCCTGATGTCGTAGTACTGGGAACGATGGAGAATCGGATGTTAGCCGGAGGCCGTGGCGGCGAAGTAAAAGCAATCGACAACAAGCGCGGTCGCGAACGTGGTCTTGTCGAGGAGAACGAAGACATGAGCATCGAGGATATGGTACGCCAGGAGAAGCGCACACGTGGACTGGCGGGCGGCGAAGGTCGTGCGTTTGCAGAACGCATAGCCAAGGATGCCAAATTCGACAACGATCTGGACTACATGGACGACAACGCGAACAAGCTGGCCAGGAAGGTCGCGAAGTCCGACATCAACCTGCGCAATGTGGCCATCGGTGACTTCCAGAAGATGCAGCGCATTCTGGAGAACTGCCCCTTGTGCCACCACGAGGACACGAACACACCGCCGGCCGCACCCGTCGTGTCCCTCGCCACACGCGTCTACATGACCCTCCCCACTGAGCCCGAAGTCTCGTCCGGCGGCGCCGTCATCGTGCCCGTTCAGCACCGACTCAACCTTCTTGAGTGCGATGACGACGAGTGGGAGGAAATCCGCAACTTCATGAAATCGCTCACACGCATGTACCACGAGCGCGACCGGGGCGTCATCTTCTACGAAAACGCAGCACAGATGCACAGCCGCAAACACCACGCCGCACTCGTCGCCGTCCCCTTGCCAATGCACCTCGCCTCAGACGCGCCCGCCTTCTTCAAGGAAGCCATCCTCAGCTCCGACGAGGAGTGGAGCCAGCACAAAAGGTCATCGATACGCTGGCGCTGACGCAACGCCCAGGCTACGGTAAGGCGGCGTTCAGAAAGGCGCTCGTGAAGGAGATGCCGTATTTCCATGTCTGGTTCACGCTGGATGGCGGGTTGGGCCATGTGGTTGAGGACGAGAGGAGGTGGCCCAAGGGCGACTTGTTCGCGAGAGAGATTATCGGGGGATGCTCAAGAAGGGCCCCGATGTGGTTAAGAAGCAGGGTAGGTGGACGAGGCAGGATGCGAGGATTGAAGGGTTCAGGAAGCGCTGGAATAAGTTTGACTGGACAAGGGTGTTGATGGATGCGCAATAGCGCAGGTGAGAAAGGTATATACCGGGTTCCTTTCTGGAAATGAAAAGGGATCGGCTCCTACTCGTTCCAGCGGCCGTTCCGCATGTTTCTCTATCATCATTTGTGTTTTTGTAACGAGTCCCTTGTGGTTTGGTGTGTCGGTGCCGCTGCGTTCGAGGCGCTAAACGTGGTCTGTATGAACCATTGTGCGCAGATGTTTGCTTCCAGGCCTACGGCGAGACAGTACTGCGCGTTCTTGCTACAAGGAAGACTGGAACAAGTCCCAGCATATCACAAGCAGGCATTCATTTTGTTGCTGCTTTCTTCGACCCGGTTTTCTTCACACGAGTGACATGAACATTTCCCTACGA